AGGGAGAGAGCCAAAGCATAAGAGACTCTTAAAAACAGAACAAACTGAGGGTTGATGGGGGGTGGGAGGGAGGGGAGGGTGGGTGGTGGGTATTGAGGAGGGCACCTTTTGGGATGAGCACTGAGTGTTGTATGGAAACCAGTTTGACAATAAATTTCATATATTGAAAAAAAAATAAAATCCAATCAGAAGTTGGATTTAATGAGATATAGATAGTAAGTGGTGAAAGATTTTTGGTCAGGGATTGATACTGTACTCTAATTGTTGGAAACAGCATCAGACTTAGCTCTGAGACTTAAATGACTTTGGGCACATTTTGTACTTAACATCTCTCTGCTTCAGTTTTCTTTTAATTAAAAGTAGAAGTTATAACAGTCTCTACCTCATAGAGTTATTAGGATTAGGTATAATACTGTAAGTAAACTATTTGGCAAAGTACTTGGTATTTAAGAAAACATTGATTTATATTTGTGTTAATTAAAATAAGTTGATGTCTAAGCAATAATTGCCAACAACTCTTTAAAAATACTACACAGTTGTACCTGAATTAGGGAATCATACATTAGATGGTTATGATGGAGGTGCTTAGAGTTGAGATAAGTATGAACAGGGAAAGAAAATAATATTTTTTTAGAAATTGATGCGATAAGATGGAGTGACAAATGATAAATGAAGTGAGATGAGTAAAACAACATTTCAAGTTTACATAGGGGAATGGTGTTTCCACATACACGGGAATCTGGAAGCTGATGTGAAGTTGAGCGAATAGCATGAATGAGAATAATAAGTCTGGTTTTAGAAATATGATTGCAAATATGGGGTGGGGAAAGCCTAAGTAAAATTAAGTACCTGTTGCTGGAGTAACTCATACAGTCAATACCTACTTAAAAGGTATTAGAAAATCAAATGGTGTTCCTCACTGCCCAGCCAGCCTGTGTCTCCAGTAGGGTGTGTCACACACTCCCTGGAATGGCTGTTTCATACTTTTCTTTGTCCTCAAGTACCCTACATCCTCTTTTCCATCCTTGCTTTCAGCTTTTGGCCTTGCCTCATAATTTTTAATTTTGTTTGTAAGAAGCTTTCAAATCCAAACTTCCTTCCATCCTCTTCCACCAACTCTGTGTACTTCCTTGCAATTGTGCTCATATTCTCTACTGTGAGAGTGGAGGCAGGCTCTCTCATAAAGCCAATTCCTTCGCTTAAATTTTGGTTTCATTCCCTCGCACGTCTTAATGAATACCTTCTTTGGGTTATTCCCTTCTTTTTCCTGCATTATCAAACTAGAATCTCCCTGAAATATGGCAGGTCAAGTTAGAGTTGCAATAGAAACTGACTTCTTGGCTACCCTATTGCCCTTTATAACTCAAAACTTTACATCACCATTCCAGAACTTACACTGACTCTATATAATTCACTTTTCCCACCACCATCCACTCCTTCCTGGAACAGCTACGTTTATGATAATTTATTTTTCTTGTCTTATTTTCTTTTCTCCAGCTTTCTCCATCTCAGTAAATGACATAAGACAGACTGAAAATCTAAGTTCTTTCCCTAAGACCCAAATTTTTTCTTTAAGTTCTGTTGTATCCCCAAACTTTATCTCAGATCTGATTATTCTTTTTCCAACTACCCTTCATTATTTGAGTCTTAAGTCATGATCTGTAGTTTCTTGGACCCTACATATAGCATTTTCCACATAAAGGAGTGATCTTAAAATGTAACCCAATAAGGTTTTCACTTCCTTACCTCAGTAGCTTCACCACAGCTCCTGGGTAAAATCCACAAATCCTTAGCATGTTTTATGATGCCTCTTTCTCTAACCTCATCTTATGCCATTCCCTTCACTCTTTACTGGAGCAGCTGTACTGGTCTGTCTTTTAACTCCAGTACCTTTTACCTCCTCATGTTGCTCACTCCTCATACTGAAACTTAAATTTCAGTTTCATAGGGAGGGATTCTGCAACTACTTTGCATAGGGTAACCTCTCCCCCCCCCCTCCCGAAACGCACTTTTTCTTACATTAAGAATATAATCATTCTTTACCCCATATTTTTTCTCCTCAAAGCACGTATCACAGTTTGTGGTTGGTCTTTTTTCTGTCTCTCCTATTAGAAGCTTCATGAGGGCATATCTTGCTCAATATTTTATTCTTACCATCAACCTCAGCACCTGGAACTTGGTAGGATCTCAGCTGCTTTTGTTGAATTAATGAAAGTCCTTTAGGTATTTGCAAATGTGAAATTGAACTTTGTCTGAAAGACTAAGACTAGAGATTTTTTGAAATCATCAACAGAGGTAAAAGATTTAAAAAGCACAATGTTCAGAAGAGAGTATCGAGAGAAAAGAGAGCAGTGAGCTTTGTGACTAGGCTATAGAAAGGCCTCATAGGATGTGAAAGGAAAAAAGAATTGTGTAATTTGAGCATAGAGTTTCAAGGAAATTTCAAATGAGGTACAGCAAAAAGTAAATGGAGAAAAACTGTTAGAAAAAGCATAAGGTGCTTGTTTCTCTAAAAAAGCAGTTTTAGTAGAACAGAAACTATAATTTTATTTGTAGAGAGTTTGAGTATATTAAGAAAAAAGGAGCCACTATGTGTAGATAACTTGTTTAAGGCAGAAATAGAATGGCCAGTGAAATCTCTAGTAAGCCAAACAAATCTAGATGTAGAAGAAATAGATGGAAGTTTTCAAACTAAGGATATCTAATGATTCTGTTGATTGTAGTAAAAGTTTAGATGAACTAACATAAAATACCTGAATTTTTAATTGAAATTATTGAACTATTAAAAAATTAGTTCTTAGAAGACTCTCAAACTCTTACTTGAAATTGTGTAATTTTTGCATCTCTTTGGTCAATATATTTTAGTAACTTTAAAATGGTAAGGTAGAGGTTGAACATAGGTAAGATGGAGGTGAAAATAACCTACTATTCTTAACCTTTTCCTTTCAGCTGGACAGCATGAAGTTGTAGCTATAGGCACAGGTGAATACAATTATAGCCAGTGCATTAAGCCAAATGGAAGAGTGTTGCACGATACTCACGCTGTTGTTACAGCAAGAAGGTCTCTCCTTAGGTAAGGTGACAAATATATTTAATGCTATCAAACATTAATGCTTTCAGCCCAAAGTAACCACATATCAGTGTCTTTATTTACAAATCACTGAGCCATGGATATGACATTCTTTTCCTTATGCAGGTCATCTGATTATTTCCATGTCATTTTTGAAAACCTTACGGTAACTGCAGTGTCTATAATCTGTGGATTTTAGTGGCTTCTATTATCAAGACCTTATGAGTCCATTTTAAGAGTCCTGCAACTTTTTTAATATGACATGTTTATCACTGATCAAAGTAATTAAGAGTATATAGCTTTAGATCTGGACCAAGTTGGCTTGGTAATATTTCACCCCTAAATTAGCCATATTTACCCAAAGTATTGCCAGAAAACAATAAGTTTCCATTCATGAAGTCTATGCAAAGTTTACTATATAGCAGAATATAGATAAGGTATTGTTTTTTTAAGTTGTAATATAGTTGACATGTACAGTATTATACTATTTGCATGTTAGTTTGCAACACTCACTGCACCCACCACCACCATAGCAAATATGGTTACCATCTGTCACCATACAAAATTATTACAATATTATTGACTTTGTTCCCTATGCTATATTTTCATCCCCTGACCTATTTATTTTATAACTATAAGTTTGTATAGGCTGGCAGATCTTAAAGAGAAATAAGGGGAACTTGGATGGCTCAGTCAGTTTATCGTCCAACTCTTGATTTTGGCTCAGGTCATGATCTCAAGGTTCGTGAGATTGAACCCCACATCAAGCTTTGTGCTAACAGCACAGAGCCTGCTTGCGATTCTCTCTCCCTGCCCCTCCCCAACTCATGCTGTCTCTCTGTGTCTCAAAATAAATAAATAAACATTTTTTTTTTTAAATAGAGAAGGAAAAGGGCTGAGGTGAGGAGGCCTACTTTCTTCTTCCAAACTCATCAGTCACTCTGCTCCTTGTGAAAGGAGTTAATAGCAGGTAGGAGGGAGAAGTCAGGAAGGTTACTCGTTGGAAGTCCCTTCATATGAAAACATGAAAAGTAAGAAATGTGTTACTTTCTCCAGTGTCTGCCAGATTTTGGTTCCATTAAGACATTAAGCTTACTTTTGGGGCGCCTGGGTGGTGCAGTCGGTTAAGCGTCCGACTTCAGCCAGGTCACAATCTTGCGGTCCGTGAGTTCGAGCCCCGCGTCAGGCTCTGGGCTGATGGCTCAGAGCCTGGAGCCTGTTTCCGATTCTGTGTCTCCCTCTCTCTCTGCCCCTCCCCCGTTCATGCTCTGTCTCTCTCTGTCCCAAAAATAAATAAAAACGTTGAAAAAAAAAAAAAGACATTAAGCTTACTTTTTATAAAACTTTTTTGTGGAAATATTCAAACACTAGGGAGAATAGGATAATGAGTTCCATCATTCAGTTATCAGCATTCTCATACCACTATCCAATGATCAGCATATCCAGTTATAAGCTTCCTTTTTGTTAATTAAAAAGAAAACTTTTTAAAATGTTTATTCATTTTTGGGAGAGAGAGAGAAACAGAACATGGGTGGGAGAGGGGCAGAGAGAGCGAGACACAGGATCTGAAGTGGGCTCCGGGCTCTGAGCTGTCAGCACAGAGCCCCACACAGGGCTCAAACCCACAAGCCATGAGGTTGTGACCTAAGCTGAAGGACACTTAACCAACTGAGCCACCTAGGGGCCCCCAGTTATCACCATTCTGCATTTAATCTCTGCATCCTCATTTTTTGTTGGTGGTATTTTCTCTACTAGAGTATTTGAAAACATATTTAGACATTAGTTTGTCTAAAAAACTTAAGCACGTATCTCTAATTATAAGGAAAGAATCCTATAATCTTAAAAGATAACTTTTAGGGAAGTCCGTGAAGGTAATGTAACTCATTGTTCTCTAATCCCCATTGGTGCTTATTGAATTATTTGACCTCTTTAAAATTATCTGATATGTGTATTTCTTCCCATGCTTGGCCTTGTTATATACTGGTGCTTAATTTTTCATTATTTCTGAAGGAAGTACTAAAATCATGTTTTTTATTTAATAAGCAAAATAATATTTGTCTCCTGATTTGATTAGTATTCGTTTTTCAGGAGATTGTTTCACTTCTATAACTTACGGTTTTCATTGTACTGTTCTGTACTCTTGTGTTTTTGTCTTCACAACCGCTAAGAAACAGGAACCACAGTTGTTTGTCTGTTTTGTCAGGAAGAGGAAATAGAAATAAGACAGAATATTGACACCTCATGCAGGAGGCTGAGAACAGAACTTGTGAGAAAAGGAGGAATCAGTGGAGAAATGTGTATTTTGCAGGATATGACAGTTGCAGACTCAAATGTGAAATGAATGGAGTGGTAGTCAAGGAATGGTGCTTTAAGGCAAATCACATGGCAGACTGGGCTCCAGCTGAGGAGTTCTCATACAGTTTAACTCTTCACTAAAAAAGACTAAAGTTATTTTAGGAGCTCTTATCAGGTATCAAAACTTTCAATACATAGGGAGAGACATTGCTCACAACACATATATAGATATGATACTTAAGATATATAATTTAAAAAGTCTATTACTTGGTAAAGTTATAACCCCTTTATTTTAGGTACTTTTATAGACAACTTCTGCTCTTCTACAGCAAAAATCCTGCTATGATGGAAAAATCAGTATTTTGTACAGAGGCAGCTTCTAATCTACTCACTCTCAAACAGAATGTCAACATTTATCTCTATATGAACCAGTTGCCTAAAGGGTCAGCCCAGATTAAGTCACAATTGTAAGTATTATGGAAGTTATTTCTCAAAGCAGTGAGGATGTCTATGTCATATATTCTGAATACATAACAGCAATAGGACAAGTAACTTCGTATCTATCCTTGTTCTCCCTCTGCCTTGAGGTGTTATTTGTGGCTAGCTAGAGGCCACAGATTCTTTCTCCCTCCCCTCCACTTAATCTCCTCTACCTTACCACTTTCTTTCTATGCTGTTGAAAATTTCCTTTCAAGTTTGAAGACTTCATAAACAGTAGGGAAGCATGGATTTATGCACTCTTCACATGTTATTACAGAATCAAGAAATGCAGTTTGCTTTTCTGGTCGATCTGTGGCCAAAACTTCATTATCTTGATGAATGGGTAGCATCAGAAATTTAAACAGTACAGACACGCACAAAGGAGAAAGCAAAATTCACTTCAAGTCTCACCATATAGAGATAATAATGGTTAATATTTTGTTAAAAATTCGTACAGTTATACCTTTGAAAACAAGGGCAAGGAGTATTCCTGGAGGGAAAATTCAAGAAAAACTATTTTACATTTTTTTTTTAATTTTTTTTTTTTTGAACGTTTATTTATTTTT